TTTTGGAAAGAATGCACGACAAGCTAAGGTATACGGTTTTCGGCTGCCATGTGGCTATTTCGCAAGGATATGGGTTTTATCAATGGTGTAAAGATGAGGCTTTCTACCCCTATAAAGACTTACAGGCTTGGAAACCCACGGCCAGTTCTATCCTGCTCCAAAGGGTCTCCGTGAGCTGGAACAGCTCCTGACCTTTCAAGGCAGCCCAGGCTGCGTAAAGACAACAACAACAACCATTGCTGGTGAGTCACTTTGAGGCAGATTAGGAAAGAGGCTGGATTCTCTCGCCCCCATTTTTCAAGTTCAGAGGGTTTTGAGGGATTTTCCCAAGTCAATAAATACATGTAGGCTCAATCACACCCTCCGTCTAGTTAACGTGTAAGCTTTCAACATAACAGCCTGCATCATTTTCAATTTTCTTCTCCCCCTGCAAGGACACTGTTGTTTCTCTCTCCCCTGTCAGAGTAATGTGTCAGAGCTCCACACCATCTGCCCAGCGTTTACGAGCCTTAGGAGCGGATCAGACACCTGTGTTCTCGAGTTGAACCCAAGAGAGCAAAGAACCCCCGGCCCAGGACTCAACCTGTGGCACTAGATGCCCGGCACATGCGCACCATCCCACGAGGGAAGACAACCTACCTAGAAGCCTTTACTCTGAACTTCATTTTTGAATACTGGTTGCACGTGGGCCTGATTACCGCAACCCCACCCAGGTGGACCCAATTACCTGAATGGTCCACTTCTGTTCAGGAATAAATATAATGCCCTTCCCGCCTACACTCCCTTAAAAACCTCTCATTTTCCCTGTGTAGAGAGACAGTGGCCTGTGGTGTCCTAGGGCCCCTGCCCGATCTCCCCTCGCAAGGCATTCTCTCTAATAAAGCTTTGTGCTTGTGCAGTAAGCTTGGCTTGCTGCCTCGGTATTGACTGGGCCAGGGCAAGGACCCATCCCGTGAGGCACCCTGCAACAGATTCAGCTCCTGGTGACCCAGCATGACAGACCTGTGCTCCGTAGGGTTTTCTTGGCTGCAATCTGCCACAGTGGCTACCTGGCGGCCGACGAACCACAAGGCCAGCCGTTCAAAACTACCAGCCTCTCCAGGGGAGAAAGACAGGGCTTTCTGAAGAGTTACCATCTCGGAAACCCACAGGGGCAGTTCTAGCCTGTGCTGCAGGGCTGCTGTGGGTTGGCATCGACTCGATGGTAGTGTGTTTCGTCATTTGGGGATCTTTATGGGAGCAGATGGTCGGGCATTTCTTGCTCATTGCCACGGGGTGAGTTCAAACTACCAACC